GGGGGGAGAGAGAGAGAAAGAGAGAGAGGGGGCAGAGAGAGAGAAAGAGAGAGAGGGGGCAGAGAGAGAGAAAGAGAGAGCTATTAGACATGTATCCCCACAATAAAATTTGTTTTGTTTCGTTTCTGATTATTATTCCTTTAGTTTTTTGGATTTTGGATCCTAAATTTTATTCTGTTTGTTATTCGGTTTTCAGATTTGTACGAAGATTTCTTTGGGAACAATCCAATTGTGTATTGGGTAAAGGACTGATACATAAGTAGAGTTTAAATTGTAGGGTGGGATATTGTTCTTGGGTCATAGATTGGACATATTTTTTTTTCTCACTTTGGTTTGGCCCACAGGACTGTAAAATGAGTGACAACATCAAGAATTTCCGCTTTAGTGACTTTAAAGATAATGGAGGCTATGAGCGGGTCCTCCTGCAGCTTTTCGGGTTACCAGGAAATGGAAAATCTTCCTTCATCAACACCTGCAAAGTTGTCATCAATGGTAGTGAGTTTGTATCTCACACTGAGGCTGGAGGCAGCTATGGAGGACACACCACTAAAAGACACTCTTATGAGCTCACCGAGTCAATATGCATGGTGGATAATCGGGGGATGCCAACGTTGGACAGGTCCCAGACGGGAGAGATTTTTGCTCAGCTTGGTAAAATTTAAAAACATTGTGATAGTGTTATTGTTGTCAATCTTCAAAGCAATGTGCAGTAACTATATATCCCAGCTTTGGATCTAAGAAAGAGGGACACGTTGGCATGAAGATTATATACGGGACGCATAGCATGCCAGAGTGAAAAGTGAGCATGACAACACTAAATTGTATTTTGACCATGGCATTATGAGGCGTATATCACAGAAATCACTGCGCTGGGAATGTGTGCCTAACTACCTGATTGGACCAGCCGCAACAATGTGTATAGGTGAACAAATGTAAAGCAAATATGTTGCGCTCGGTGTTCCAGTGTTGATTTTTATTATTCTTATTATGTTTGTGTGTTGAACCTTCTAGTCATATGTAAATAATCCACTTGAATCAATTTTTTCACACGGATTGCTGTAATTTTTACACAGATTCGTTTATTAACACTTTAGTGTGCAGTTGGTTCACATAGACCGAGCGCAACATATTTGCTTTACATTATGAGGCGTAGTTACATTGTGTACAAGGCCATACTCTACAATTACTGTGCCACAAGCGACAGTCTCACAGCCACACATAAACATAAGCACAAATAAACTCTTCTATTACATATACTTTCTGTACACAGGATATAGACATATAGCTAACATTTTTTCTAAGCCTATCTTTAAAGGAGAACTATGGGGTTAGTGCTTTTCCCCATAGTTCTCCTTAGGGTAACGGGAGGACACAAACTAGCGTCCTCCCGTCACCCTAGGCTCAGTATATAGAGAGCTACAGCTTGCGGTATGCTGAGACGCTGAAGCGGATCCCGACCATTGTGTCTGGATCCGCCCAGCTGCGTGAGTGACAGCTGGCTCTGCCTATCTAGATGCAGAGCCAGCTGTACCCGCCCCCTCCCCCGTATGTTCCGCCAGTCAGCGCTGGAGGATCGGAGCGGGGAGGGGGGAATCCAGCCACTCCCCTGTCACAGCATAGCACCGTGACAGGATCGAGAAGTGAGCGAACGCCGGTCTGTGTTCGCTCACCTCCCGATCTACTGAGCCGACCTGTGACAGTTTCACTGTCACAGGTCGGCTAGAACTATGAGGTGAGTGCAAAGCCCTTTAAGAGGGACGTAATTAAAACGGTTGAGGACTACAGTACATAGTAACTAGAACCTGAGACAATGAACACTTTGGCCAGCAATATGTAATGTACAACACAGCTAATATGTAATGCAACAGACAGAACTATATTATATGCAACACAGCGTATAGGGTGCGATGGTCAGGAGAATGTAGTGTACAGCACAGTGCACAGACAGCAAGGATCAAAGGATCGGTAACATTGTGCTTATTAAAGAAGAACTCCAGGATTTTATAAAACTGACCCTTGCAGTGGGGGCTACCACCACACTATGAGAGTTAACTGCTTGTTTTGGTTTATGGTTTGGAATAAAGAACGTATCCTCACCTGATTTTCAGCCCTGCGGTAGTCAGCACCTGCATTAAAAGTGATGACATCAGCGGTCCTTAACCTGCTTGAACTCAGGTGAGAATATGAAAATCAGGGGAGTATGTTTTCTTTATTTGCACCCCTAAACCAAAACAAGAAGTTACCCCCTCTCCAGCCCCACTGCAAGAGCGAGGTTTTTTTAAACCCTGGCATTTGTCTCTAAATTATTGGCCAGGAGGGTCAAAAAATGTGCAATGGTGGTCCATGGAGGAAGAATAACAAATTTTAGGTGTCAATGGTAAGAAAAAAAAACATTGGTGTCATTGTGAAGAAGAATACTCCCCATGGATGGTATCATTGGAAGGAAGACAGTGTCATGGTTGATGTCATTGGGAGGGTAGAAATTTGCAGGCACTACTGGGCAGGAGATCACTCCAATTTGGGGGATATGCAGCAACTAATCATCTCCCAAACATTGTTTTCATTGCTTGAAATGAATTAAAAGTGAAATCTGATGGATGGGTGGAGGGGGGGATAGAATAAAAACATTACAGTTTATTTTTTAGTTTTTTTCATTTTATTTTATAATGTTATTTTCTTGTATTGTCCAGGAAATTTGCTGCCTCTGGACCAGGATGTGGAATGGGTTGAGGACTTTAATAGCAACGTGGACAGAGTATTGGCTGAATCCCATAAAGAGGACAATTTACATGATTTCATTGTCCCGGTTTTTGTACACAGGTGAGAGATACAAATCTACAATGAGGTGACTTTTGATAAAGTGGAGACCGGCAGACAAACCTGCGATCGGATATATTAGCATCCTGTGCTCACATTTCCCTCTTGTCTGGTCATATTGGGAGAGCAGCAGATCTGAAAGAGAGTGGGGTAAAAAAGAAGTCACAAGATTTCCTGCATCTCTAAATCATGTCCTCTTTTCTTTGGACTTGATTGGCGAGTTGTGCAACAAGCTGGAGAAACTGCTCTGTGATGCTCTGTATACAAGACACCCCATAAACCTCACTTGCTGCTCCTCTGATTTTATTGCAGCTTTTCTGAGAAGTCTGCACACAGCTGGAGGTCACATTAGAGGAATTTCCTGCAATGGAGTATCTTTGTAACATTGTAATGCACATAGTTCACCTATATGAGATTAATAATGAATATATTTTTTTCTAGTCTAAAATATAATATCAAATATGAAGCTGACTTGTACAGAGAGCTGCTGAACAATGCACAAGAACTGACTGGTAATTATTTGATTATACATTCAAGTGGCTGCCATTTTTCTTTTCTCTCCTCTCTGTTCTTACGATAGCTTCCTTTCCTCTGTCTGTTTTACTTTCTTTTCTCATTTTTCTCATATAAATTTGTATTTAAAAAAAGGAGAGGTATACAAAATTATTGCTATTAGGGAGTCAGCTAAGCATAAGGATCCAATGTAAACTCAGATAACTGACACAGTTACAAATGTAAACAATTATGACTATTGTATACAGGCCTAGGAATAGCAGATGATAGCGTCCCATATCACATCCAGAAAGAAAGCAGCATGTATCAATATGTGGTAAACAAAAAATGATGGACTGGAACCTACATACTATATAGTGCCACAGGGCCAATAAAAATAGAAAAACAACCTTGAGCAGAGAAGCAAGTGGCGGCGAGTTAGGCATTAGAGAACAGCAGGTAAAACTCAGCTCAAGAAGCAATAATTCCAATTTGAGGATGGCTACAGGAGCAAAGTGCGAGAGTACAAAGGAGTCTCCATGGATGACTCAGACTAAAGGAGAAAAGGAAATATGGAAGAGAAAGAAGAAGAGAGATGGAGAGGGCAGTATTGCTTCTGGAGCTGAGTTTTACCTGCTGTTCTCTAATTCCTAACTCGCCTGAGCCGCCACCTTGCTGAGAACAACCTTCTCGACCCCTTACAGTCCGGCTTTTGCCCTCTACATTCCACTGAGACTCCGCCCCCAACACTCCACTGAAACCGCCCTCCTAAAACTCACTAATGACTTACTAACAGCTAAAAACAATGGCCACTACTCCAGACTCTTGCTATTAGACCTTTCTGCTGCTTTTGACACTGTCGACCACTGCTCCTCAGAAAACTCCACTCTCTTGGCCTACAAGACTCTGCTCTCTCGTGGTTCTCCTCTTACCTGTCTAAGTGCTCCTTTAGTGTGATCTACAAATCTAACTCCTCCCCTCCTCTTCCTCTTTCTGTAGGGGTCCCCCAAGGCTCTGTCCTTGGACCCCTTCTCTTCTCTATCTACACCTCCTCCCTTGGTCAGTTAATAACCTCACATGGCTTCCAATACTATCTCTATGCCGATGACACTCAAATCTATCTCTCTACTCCGGAACTCCGCCCCCTCAGTGTCCTCCATCCCCCTCCCACCCTCAGTGTCCTTGCGTGTCACTGATCTACTAACTGACATATCCGTCTGGATGTCACAACACTTCTTACAACTCAACCTTTCAAAAACTGAGCTCTTGATATTTCCTCCACCCCGTGCACCTTCCCCCAACTTTTCCCTTGAGATTGATAACACAATCCCCCCTCTGCCGATCCCTCCACTGGCTTCAATCCCCCGCCCCCCTCTGCCAATCCTTCCACTGGCTTCCAATAGCACAAAGGATAAAATTCTAAATTTTACCAATGACTTATAAAGCCATCCACAACTCCACCCCCGGATATACAGTATCTCAAACCTTGTCTCAATGTATCACCCTAACCGTCCCCTCTGCTCTTCCAAATACCTCCTGCTCTCTAGTTCCCTTGTCAACTCCTCCCATGCTCCCCTCCAGTGCTTCACTAGAGTCTCTCCCATCCTCTGGAACTCTCTATTCCAACCTGTCCGTCTATCTCCCACCCTGACTGCCTTTAGGCGATCCCTTAAGACTCATCTATTCAGGGAAGCCGATCCCACCTCAACCTAACTGCTCAACCATTCATTCCCACACAGCTACCTCCTCATGAATCACTCGCCCCTCCCTTTTAGATTGTAAGCCCTCAGGGGCAGGACCCTCCTTACCATCTTGCCTTGAATTGTATTGTGATTGTAATGTCTCCCTTATATTGTAAAGCGCTGCACACACTGTTGGCATTATATAAATCCTGTATAATAATAAGAGGGAAGAGGGAGAAAAGCATGATCCAGGCTGTATGGGGAGGGGAGAACAAGCACGACTGGCAAATGTGTAAAAGGCCAGACTAAATCGTACGTCTTCCCCTCTCTTTCCTCTATCCATCTCCTCCTCCCTCTTCTCTGTCAATATAGCGGCTGCTATTACTCTATCTCCAACTCCCCACCTTTGTATACCGTATATATTGGCTGTCATGGCTGTCATTTCTTAATCTAACTTTCCACTGTAATTCTCTCCCTCTCTCTTCTCTGTCCATACAATGGCTGCTTTCCCCTGTCTGTCTCCCCTCTCTCTCCTCTATTCCCAAATAATGTTTGCCTTTCCTTTGTCTTTCTTCATCTATCTCTGCTCTCCTCTAGATAATTAGTATTTAATGCAAATGTAATTAACAATAGA